CTTTTATCTGCCCCACATTTTACTCAGAAGTGAGGAGAAATAAAAGTCATTGTTTAACGCTTTCCATCCAGCATTGCATGAAACTAGCAAGAGCTGGGGCATATCACTACTCATTACCCACAAAGCAAGTGGAACGCAAATGGAATCATTTCCAATGGAAAGAACTGAAGAAAGTCTATAAAAATGAGAACCAGTTTTGAACCACAATATTCCTTGTCGCTGCAAACTCTTGCATTATTCTTATCACAAGAATTTCTAAGCTAATTGCTAATTACAGTATTGTGATATTGAAGTTCGATGTGTATGGTTTCACAGTGTCCAGACTTTGCTGTATTGCAAAAGTAATGTGACTTGGACTCTGGGTGCAGAAAAGCTAAAGAAAGGAATACTGACTAACAACATTCTCATTTCAGTTAGAAACTGAATCTGTACAAAGTAGCTTATACTGTAATTAGATTTTAAAACAGAGATGTTGCTCTCTGGGTGTCCTGGCTTCTGAGATTTCAACTGGGGATTGTTCATAAACGATAAACCCATCATCTCAATAATAAGAGCTGGAACGTGCTTATATTTTCAAAACAAAAGGTGAATTTTTCAACAGATAAGGCAAGTCACTTTCCTGTATTAGTCATATTCAGCTCCTCATCTGTGAAATAGGATTAACAGAATAAACTTACTTCTTAAGGCTGTTCTGAGTAAAAGCACAATAAAGATATTAACACATTTTATGCCACTAACAAAAATACTATACTCTTTATAGCTGGATACCTGGCAGGCAGCTCCTGACTAGTATTATTAGTAGAATTGCACCATTTTTCTTTGGATTACAGTTCAAGGAAGAATATTTTCTTGACATCCCTTTCTTATCTTTTTTCAGCACTGTTTTTGAAAAATTAACTACTATCTTTTTCACAGCTCAGTAGCTTCAGCAGCACTTGCAGCTCCCCTGAGAAAATCCAGGTCACTTATAATCACACTGGCAACCTGAGCACACACATTTGTATGCAAACAATCACCTCGGATTATTAGTTGAAGTCACAAGCCAAACCAGAATGAAGGTAGTCAGAGCTACATGAGGGGAGAGGGGATTATTTGAAATAAAATTAGGTTCGATTGAATTATGTCTGTTGAAATGGAATTCTTTTAATTTGTCAGGAGAAAGGAGTTTAAATCTCATCCCATTTTCATACCTATAGCCTGCCCTTTCTCTGAAACAGCATTTTTATCCTATCTTGAAATACACTATTTTTTCCCAGTTAATGAACTGGAAGTTGCATGTATGTCATTTGGGAAGAGGAAATCCAAACTGACTGGAGCAGAGGTTACAAATTTTTTTGTTCAATCTGAGCCAGAACCCGGGTGAAGATATGGACAGGTCTTGTTATTTGAGGAAACACCTTTAAAAAAAAAAGAAGTCATTGCATGCTCTCTATTTATCTCTGTAGGTCTCTGTTTCACTTTTGATTGACTTACTTTGAGTGTATATGAGACTTTTATGGCTCTCTTTAGACAGCCCTCCCCAACTTTAATGGAATTTTGATTGTAATGATTATGGAGCAATTCCTGGATTCAGAAAAGCTGCATGATCCTGACTGAAGAGCCTGCAAACCAATATTAAATATCTAAAGCAGCATGGCACAAAGACTTATTAAAGGAAAGGTAGTGAAAGAACTAAATACAATAGCTACCAGCTCAATTCTTGGAGGGAGGAATTCCTGTTAGACCAAAGCTACAGAAAGGTTAGGACAAGGTACAAATAGTGGTTCTAAAAAATCGTTCATTTAAGTGCTTCCTGAAATGCACTATGCATCATCTACAACCCTCTGTGATTCTAGAGACTAATATATACAGTATGTTAGCATGTGTTTATTCGGTAAAACTTTACTTAAAGTTTTAACCTTTCTTTCATTGTAGGTCAGTAGGATGGGAAGTATAAATGATGCTATGAAAATTGAAACTGAATACCAAAAATGCAGTATGAAACTCATACAAAATAGAAATGCAGTAGAAACTCATAAAGGCAGCATTATAGGGAAAGCATAACAAAACAGCAAATTAAATCAGCTACCAGACATTATGCCAGGAACCAAAGAACTGTGAAACTGTTTCTATGGTACCTTTCCCCATGCTATACATTCATGTGAGAACACAAGTGAGAAGCATAATGTAATTGTTCAAAAGGCAGGAAGAATAAGAAATGACCCACTCCATCCAACCTAGTTCATATAAAAAAATTAAGGACTGAATTGGCTTTAAAAATGCTGGACAAGCTTTCTACTTCTTAGACCGCTCTTGCTTCCACTCGCCCCTTCCTCCGAAATACATGAGCGAGTCAATACAATTGAAAAATATTTAATACAAAACTCAGAATATTTGTTGGGTCTTATTTACAAGTTTTTTCTTCAAATTCAATCCAAAACCCATTCAAACTGCATTCACTATATCCAGCAGTAAAAACTCAAGCCTACCCATAGTTAGTTTCATTATCATGGCTCAATGCTTCAAGAATTATTTCATGCTTTTGAATAGCATTTTTAAGTAGAAATTAAATAAATATGGATGTTGTAAGTCTTTGTTCTAAATCAGAGGGGGACATTTCATTGATAAAAGTGGCTTTCTGTTTTGAGAGACATCTTTTACATGTGGAGCAGAAAGGAAGAAAACAGCAATAATGTAAGAAGAGAATGCATAAGTTGTCTTTGCCATCTTGCCTCAAATGTAGAGGTTACAGGTTTTAAGATGCCCTTCCAGAGAAGGCTTAATATTTTTGAGAAACTAATGGCACCATTTTGCCTCCTTGAACCAATCCTTAGAATGTTTTCTTTACAATAATCCATCAAGGAGACCAACTTATTTCTACTGCATTTAGAAGTAGGATAACTGAAATGCCAGTTTAATTTTTCATCCCTAATGGATTGCTTGGCATTTTCAAATAAAGGAATGAAAATTTTCCATTTGATGGCTGCTCTATTGTAATATAACTTAGATTGGCACCTACCTCCTCCCTTTAGGAAGTGCCCAAGGACTTGACTGTGAGGTTGTGCCTGGGAGTTCAGCAATAGTGGTGAGCCTTGGCAATGAATATATTATAGGGGTGTTATTTATATTCGCCGGCTGACTGATTATGTTTTATTGAAATTTTTAATTGTGGTTTTAAAATAGCTGTATGTTGTGATATTTTTTACTATTTCAGTTGTTTTAATCTTTGTGAGATGCAGAGAGTTTCACTTCTAAGATGGACAGCTATGCTAGATGAGAGACAGAGAGACAGAGACAGAGACAGAAAGATCTTGTTGGTGGTATGGAGTTTTATATACATTTCACTCTTACTAATATAAAATGCACTTTGGCCCTTATTAGAATGGGATTATTATCACACTTTTCACTTTTTAGGTTTTTTTTGTATTAAAAATATAAAAAAAACATGAGTTATAACACAAGTATTTTTGATTGGCACAAAAATCTATCCTTATCTAAACCATTACCCTCACCAATGGGGCTTTATGTTGTATTAATATGATTAAATTATAAAGTCAGTAATGTGCTCTTAATTTATTTAACTTAATCAGATCAATAGAACATTCATCTGATGGAAATCCAGGTTGTTAATTTAACTATTAAAATTCAAGTGAACTCATATGTAGAATAGAATAAAAGGTGACCTTATCAGGAAATTGCAATGCAGCTATGAGTATGAAGACCTGAACTCTATAGGGAGTATTTCAGAGGAAATGAGGATTAAAGCAGAAGGCATTTTGTAAAGGGAGAAGTGAATATTTTCAAGTATTGTCTGTTTCTGAAATATTCATTATTAAAGATAACTCTTTAATAACTATTTTCACCAGGGAATCTATCTCATCCTGGTATTTATATCTATATATGCATGGACATGTATGTGTTCATGGGTTCACACATGTTTGCATTAGAATGTGTGTGTGTACATATATGTGTAGTCACAATTATATCTAAATATTCCTACCAATCCAGCATAAAATATACCAGTACAAAATATTATTAAATAAGCATGTAGCTTAAAAATTAAGTTCAAGGATACTTCCTTGTGTCTACCAGTTTGAGGTATTTTAAGAAAAAAGATAATTTAAAACATTTTATTCCAGTATGTTTTTTTCAACCTCATAGTCTGGCCTACAATTTTGGGATTTCTTTCAATCTTCCATTGTGATACATGTGCAAAACTCATCAGAAATCAATGTTTCTAAGAATTTCTGATTAACACTGCTGAAAATCATATTTATGTGAAAATAGATATCAAGTGTAAGTTCAAGACTCCTTTTTATAGATGTAGTAAAGACCTTTCCTTTATCTAACAAACTGTGCCAAGGGCCTCTAAAGAAAAGGAGGCAGCATCACACAGATATACCACAGATGATCCCAAGTGCGCGGAATCAATGAGTAATCCCAGAATTTAGACACCCGTTCTTGCCCTTGTGGCTCTCCACCACTGGTGGGATTCAAACTTTTTTACTACCAGTTCTGTGGGTGTGGCTTGGTGGGCATGGCAGGGGAAGGATACTGTAAATCTCCAGTCAGAGGTGGTTTTTGGCGGTTCTCTGAACTACTCAAAAATTCCGCTACCGGTTCTCCAGAACTGGTCAGAACCTGCTGAATACCACCTCTGCTCTCCACTCATTTGAAGATGGCTTCATAGTGAAGTCTTATGCATATCAGGCTCAGCATATATATATACTTTCACATGTATCTAAACTAAATACTGGCTTTTATCTTGTTAAAACAAATGATTTGCTAGATTCCAGGAGTGTGTTTTATCTGTCCTCCAGAATCCAATACTTTCCAAATGTGTGGACTACAACTCCCATCATTCTCAGTCTGTACAGTTGACACAACCAGAGGGCACCAATTTGAGAAGGTGATGCTTTTTAGTTTAAGGCTAGGTTGAGAGTATCAAGAGCAAAGTGATTTTATTAGGAGTTAGTTGCCTTGACTGGCATTGTCTGATCTTTTCCATTATTCTTTTACAGATTTTGGCTTCAGATTATTGCATCCTGGAAAGCTGGATCAGAAGCCATCATTGCCTTTGATAATGTGTCTCTCAGCCTGGACTGTTATCTGACAAGTGAGCAAGCCTATGATTAGCTTTTAGTTTGGTAGAGTGCTCATATGTCTTGCCAAAGACTAAATGCTTTCCATTACACTTAGAATGTAGGTATAACTTAGATTTCCTGCTTTGGTGCTTCCCCATATCTTGAAAAGAAAAGATAAGGTGTTAGTCCTTTAAGATGGATCGCACTTGGAAATTGGAGTTATGAATGCTAATGCTATTTATATTCTAAGTTTTGGGTAAGAGAATCTTACAGATCTGAATGTGTTTCTTCCCTCCCTCCTTCATAAAAATTAGGGAAGGTCATGCATCAGATGCTTTGTCAAATTGCATTTCTGCCTCAGATGCATATTTCCTTTGTCTTGGTTGAGATTCTTTCTCTGTTCCTTAAAATTCTTCCTTCTGCCCATTACATAAGGTGACACCAGTATTGCTGTGGTTTTATCTCGCAAAGCTTTCTGCATTTATTGTGTTGAATATGGACAAGAAATTCAGTGGTTTTTCTAAGGCAGAAAACATTAAAAGTCCCATTATGCCATCATATTATACTTGCTAGAATTTGTTTGTTTGTTTGTTTGTTTTATTCAATTTCTATAGCTGCCCATTACAGTTTACAATTCAGAAAATACATTACAATTGAAAATACCAAAAACATTTTAAAACAGTAAAAAGTTTCAGGATTCTGTGTAAGTCTTTTAGGACAGGTCATAAATCACTTTTTCCAAAGCCATTGTAATTTTGAATTATTGTTAAATGAATGGTCACTAAGTCTAGGACTACCTATATTTATTGCTTAGCTATTTTACAACCATGTTCCATAGCATTCCAAAATAAACCTCTCCTTTCTTTTTAATGAATTTCATTTGCCTGCACTTTTTGTGCACTACTGCAAATAATGTTCAATTTTAGCATCTACAATTATGAAGAGATATAAAGAAAGAATATAAAGAAAGAAACTACTATTATGAAAATTATATAAATTTGTGGTGACTGGGCAATTATACAGCATCTACTGGAATTTTTCAATTGTAACAAATATGTCATTTCACCTTCTTAGCATCTTTCTTTCTTTCTTTCTTTCCTCCTGTTTTCCCCTTCTATTTATTACAAATCATGCTAAAACAAGGCTGTCAAACTCGTGGCCTGCAGGGTGGATGTGTCACATGCTGGCCATGCCCACACCCAGTTTAGTGAAGGCGAAAAAAGTCCCAATACATCATATGACATTGCTGTGATGACGTGAGTTTGACACTCCTGTGCTAAAGCAACAATAGATGCTACCTTTCCCTTTAACACTATGTATATTTTGGTTGCAATCACTTGGTTTGGATTGATTCACCAGCTGTTGCTCTCCTAACTTTTTCAGGCCTACACACTTAGCCCTACACAATACAAAACCAGACTGCTTTTTGTGTTTGTGTTTCAGTCAATGAAGAGAAGACATATCGACATAGCAGACCAGATTCAGGCAATCTGCTCTATGAAAGAGGTAGGGAAGAAGGACATTTTGAAGAAAATCCAACACAGTTTTCTGTTCCAGTTGGCTTTGGAGGTAGGATATTGGCTTCTTGACAATGATTTCAGAATGATTGGAGCACTCACAAGAGTGCAGATTTCCAATGCAGTATTGGTTAGAAGGCAACCAAACAACAAAAAGAGAACACCAGTATCAGTCAATAAGAATTAAAGTTAATACCAGCCTATGTACGCACCTTAAAGATTAAAGGTATCAATCAATATAAGTAATTATTCATCTGTTCAAACACTTCAATAAAAAAAAATCTGAACTAAAAATGGAATCTAGGAAGAACTGAGGCATTCAGGAAGAACTGAGGGGTTATTTTATAGCTTACAATATGTAGGAAAAATTGGGATAACCATGAATGGAATTCTCCAGTTCATTCCCCCGGTTCTATCTAGAAGGTCCTATTGTTATTATATACACAAAATTGTGAAATCATAGCTGCCAGTTCTTTAGATAATATTGCCCTTCATATGCATTGCCTTCTTTCCAAATATTTTTATTATGATAATATAGACAAAAATATATAAAAAAACCACAGCTGTCAGTTCTTTAGCTGTTGTTGGCTGTCATACACATTGAGTTCTTCCCAGCAACCTACTGTATGTGTGCTAATAACCACTGAAACTATCATGGTTGGTTTATGGAATAATCTTTCAGTTTGAATTTTCAAATCACAACACTTTGTGATCTTCTCCAATTCTTTGTCTTCTACTCTACTATCTCCTAGTATTGCCACATCAATTATCCACACTTTCTTCTTTTCAGCCACAGTTAAATCTGATGTGCTATATGCTAAGACTACTAATTTGTATTTGGAAATCTCACAAATATTTTAACCTGCTTATTTTTAACTACTTTTTAAATTCTTATGTTCCGAACAATTTTTCAATTTTTTAATGGATATTTTTTACTGATGTTCCAGTGAATCATGTTGATGACAGTGTTATATCATTCATAATCAGTTTGTGTGATCGTCTTGCATGAGCTGAGTATATGAGCCACTATTTCTTCTGTCTCTTTGCGCAATCTGCATTTTGATTCATTAGACAATTTTTCAATTTTGACCTTGATTGCGTTAGTTCAAATAGCTTGCTCTTCAGCAGCCAAAATCAAGCCCAGAGAATCATTTTGTAATGTTCCAGTTGTAAGATATTGCCAGGATTTATCTTTATCTACTTTTCAGATGATCTTGCTAGAAATTGAACATGTTTTTTATTGCCAGGATTCTGTGTATATTTTTATTATGTTATTTCAATACTCGTGTTCCGATGCATGCTTTTCCTCTTTGGCAGTTTGTTAGCCTTGAGGTAAACCTCTACCTCCATTGCTGCAGCACAGGTATCATTACAGAAATGTAATGCAAAATGAATAGTGATTAGCTTTTTAGTTTTTGTGTCCAAACAGTCTGGTTCAGCCTGTGTCCAGTTAATAATATCAGCTGTGAATGGCCCAGGCATCGATGGCTTTGATGGTGTTTGTCCTCACTTCATGACCATTTATTCAGTGATCATTCAAAATTATGATGGCAATCTATTTGCACTTACCTTTTATATTTCAGAATGACAAAACACTTGTAAATGAAAGGTTGCTTTATGAGAATTATAGCATACTCTAAGCAGTTGCATTGGAGCTTGGAAAAGCTGGGGTTCCTAAACTCGGGCTCTTCCCATGTCTCACTCTACCCATCCCTGTGCCCACAGCAACATTCCCCTGCCTCCACCAAACTCCTAAACTTCCCCTTATCCATTCCTGGCCAAGCTAGCGATATCTATCTCCTGCCTACTTCCTGAATATACTGTATGAGGGGAAGCAGGTAACAGAGGAGGTGCAGGAAGGGGGAAATAATAACAGTGGTGCAGGGGCTGAATGACAGCCATTGGCAGTCACCAAGTGATGCAGAGGAAGTGTTCTCCTGTGTACTTGGTCACCTAATGCCCCCTGAAGCTCAAGACTCTCCCATATAAGCTGTTGGGAAGATCTCTTTTCCCAGGATCTGGTATGGAGGAGGAAGGGATGATATATTTAGGCTGTATTCCTGGTGGCTATTAAGTGGTCACAAAGTAATGCAGAAAACTCTTCACTTGTCTCCTTTTTTACAGCCCAGATCTGATAGCTCTTGTGAAAAAAAGGGGGGGGGGGGCATATGAGTAAAATGAGAAAACCGAGGAATATACATGTGCCAATGAGAAAAAATGTGAGAGAGGTAGAGATTACAAACCCAAGACTGTGATGTTTATCAAAGAGAGATGTTGCTTACTTATGTAGATATATGCCTAGTAACATACAGTATTTATCATGCTATTTCTGTGAGGGTAAGCAACCTATTCAGAGTTCAGAAAGGTAGCAAGAAAAGATAACAACAATAAAAAAATAGCAAAAAACATTAAAAGCATGAGATATTCTCTTCAGAGAGGTTGATCTAACTTCTACAAGGCTGGTTTACTTTCTCTGCCTGCAGCCAGTCTACATTTATTGTAGATTTCAACCTTCTTTCTTTTTTTTCCCTCTATGACTATTTTCCTCCTAATCCTCTTTTGACAGTAGCAAAAATGGTCCATCCCACAGTTATGTCATTCTTGTCTCTTTCCCTAATTGTCAACTTATTCTTGTAAATAATGACATTGATCTTTATTTATTTTATTTATTTGATTTGTCAATCGCTTACAAGATAATAGATATAAGTATAAACATGAGTAAGAATATAGGAAATAGGTACGAATAAATGGGGACAATAGGAACAGGCACGATAGGCACGATGGTGCACTTATGCACGCCCCTTATTGTTTTAGATTTATATGCATTCCTGCTCCAGTTGTACAAATGAATACAAATGTTTAAGATTTGTATATGAATCATATGAGAATCCCAAAGGTGCTCTTTCAACACTGGCAACTGGATTTTCTTGTTTTTCTTTGGAGATCTTTTGCTTCTCATCTAAGAAGCTTCTTCAGTTCATGAAGCTTCTTGGGTAAGAAGCGAAACATCTTCAAGGAAAAATAAGAAAGTCCAGTTACCCTTTGAAAGAACCTCTTTGGGAAAATCATGACCCACATAGACATGAATCATATGAGAACTTTTTTGAAGCAGGTTGCATTTCCATTCCTTCTGGCCAAAATATATCCAATATATCCAAACTGACAGTATTATATGCTTCAAGTGTACTAACCCAAGCCCAGTTTTATCCCAAATATTTTCATGCCCTTCTTTGCAAAGTAAGATCTCTAATCTGGAGAGTACCTTGCAAGCCAACATGAATGGGTTGCCAGAACCTCCTGAATGCAGAGCTACATTGGCATGCTGAGAACACATTTAGCACACATGATTGGGTATTTTCTCTTATTTGTGATAGCTTTTTTCTGGATGGTTTCATGTCCCCCATCATAAAAGTGACAGTCTAGCATTCATGCTGGAAACTAAAATTGATTTGGCTACAGCTCTGCAGGAGCTATCTGCTTTCAGTTTGAAAATAAAGCTAAAAGGCACAGCAGGGGTGGAGGGGGGAGATAAGTTCTCTAGCACAGCAAAATCATCTATTTACTTCCCTAGAACAGCCTAATTACTTGTCCACAGGATAAAATTAGATGTCAGCAACAAGAAGGAGTAAGCAGCAAAATAACATCAAGAGTTACAGATAAGGTATTTATTTATTTATAAGTTATATATTAGATACTCTTCTAGCAAAGAATTCAAAAAGGTCAACAAATATCAGACAATAAAACATGCCCTAAATTCCAGCATAAAAATAAGCTAAGTGCAAATAAACAACTCTGAAAACAAATATTACATTGTGATTCACATTGACAACTGTGCAAGTTCACACAGAAAAAACATCTGCCCAGATGTTCTCTAAAGACTCAAGGTCTATATTGAATCCTTCCTTAATCTGAAGTCAAGTGATTGTCTCAGGGTGATAACAGAGAAATATTCTATAGTTTTTAGATCCGTTTTGAAAAAGAACATTTCAGAATAACTTCTCCAGTGCAAGGGAATTCATGGGTAAAGTGGACTATACTATTGTGTTTTTTTTGTTTTTTTTATGAAATGACCAAAAAGTATTTGTAAATCTCTCATTTTCGACCACACATTACTTTATTCAGTCATCCACGGGTTCAAAAGAAGGCATTGTGAGAGAATTTCTGCACTTTTTTAGTAATGGTGTTTATCATCATTAAACAAGAGTCTTGCACTTAAGAAACTCTTGGAGATTTTTTGTGAAATATTTTTAAAAGTCACTTGTGACCAGCTTTTAGAACCTCCAGTCACAGTGAGCATTTGAATCTATGCTCAACAGAGATGTCTGCAAAATTTGATAATAAAAAGATAAAAAGTCAGGATGATGGTCCCAACAGTGTATTTGAAGTTCCTCTGGATGTGCATAAGAACACTGATTGATTATACCATCATGACACAGCTAATGCTCAGATGCAGACAAGCAACCATCAAAATAAGATGCTTTTTTCTTGCTATTACAATTGTGCAATCTAACAGGTCACTCTTGAAATATGCCAGCTATTAAAAATGAAGAAGAAAAGAAAAAAAAACCAAGTAAATCACCATCGAATGATATTTTAATATTTATGCTACATTTATTTTCCTTCTCCATTTTGGGTTATGTTTGAGCAACATTGTGAGAAAGCCTGTATCTGCCATGTAGAAAAGGCTCATAGAAACCGACTAACAGTTACCTTTTCCACAAATGAAACATAGATGTAAAAATTGGTTCTTAAAAAAGAAAAGGTGTTCAGGGTTGTCTGAGGGAGCATGGATGTCTTTTCCTCTCAGTTTTTTGGAAGTCTGACACAATAAATGATAATAAATGAAAGCACTTTAGGAAGAAAAAAAAATCAAGCCTACTTTATTGCTCCTGGGAAGAATGATACTTCAACTACAGACTATCCTGCTGTTCTATGGCAGCAGTATAATATAACATAATACAAAATCCATTTTGCGTAAGATATATTGCAAATGCAAGCAAATACTTAAGAGGCCATATTGTCCTTTTTTGCTAGCTCTGATGCCACTGATCC